GAAATGGTCGAGACCACTTCTGGGGCGCGCCAGCGCTGGCGACACCTTCGTCGTCGTCGTCGTCGTCGTCGTCGTCGTCGTCGTCGTCGTCGTCGCCATCCCGCAGCCTCTCGAGAGGACCCTCCGCAGGGCGATGTGCGACCAGGCCCATCGGGCCCGCCGCGGCTTCCGGGAGGAGGGAGGAGGGAGGGAGGCATCGATGTTCGAGCATCCAGGTTCGAGCAGCGAGGATCGATGTTCGAGGACGTTTTTGCAGCCTGGTGCCTGGGAGCCTCCGCAGGCTTCTGGGGGCCTCGAGGGCCTCTGGGGGCGCCCGGGCACGTGTGGAGACCCCTTGGGGACTTCGGGGGCATTCGGGAGAGGGACCGACGAGCCAGGAGGTTCGAACATACGAACATCTGTTTTTCTTTGCTGCCGACTCCCAGAGACCCGTTTTCGGGTCCGGGGGCCGCGAATCGATCCAGGACGAGAAATTGGTCAAGGTGAACGTCGGGTGGGGTCGAAGCGGACGCAGGTCGCGAGGAGGGAGGACGAGAGAAGAGGAGGTGGAGGAGGAGGGGGATCGAGGGATCGAGGAGGAGGGGAACGAACGCCTCGGGATATTTCTCGTGGCTTCTCGGGGCGTCCTCGTGGCCACGGCTGTCGGGCGGGTGCTAATGGGGGGTGACCCACAAGGAGGGGTGAAGACAGAGGCCCTCAAGGGACCCTTCGGGGCCTCCTTTCGAGCCAACAGGAGTCCTAGAAGACCTCCGTAGGGCGGGGGCAGCCCGCCATGCCGCGCGGGTTCGCGCGGGAGTGGCAGGCTCTTGGGGCCAAGCCGGACGCGGCGGACCAGCGCGCGGAACGCCTGGCCGAGGCCGCACCTAGCCTGGGAAGGCCGCGGGGGCGATGTTCCGCGTCCCTGAAGGCGGTCGCGCTCTCATGGAGGCCCTGGAAAGGCCCCCGTAGGGCTCTTCTCTTCGCCCCCTCCTGGAGGCCGCCCGCCCACCACCACCCGCCCGAGCGGCTGGGTCCGCCCCGCGGTGCTGGCCAGGGCCCGCCCCGGGCAGAGGTCCGGGAGGGGCCGCACCCCGAGCGGGGGCCCGTTTCGGGCCCTGGGGCCGTCAAGAAGCCAGACCGCTCTCCTCCTCCTCCTCCTCCTCCTCCTCCTCCTCCTCCTCCTCCTCCTCCTCCGCCCCCTCCTGCCTCGTAATTCGGTGCATCAGCGGCCGCAGGCACGCGTGGGCTGCGCTGTCGCCTCGGTGTTCTGGCAACGCGGAAAAACAGGATCAATATTCTATGATTTTTAAGAGTCGATTCCAAGCAATTCCCAAGCGTGATCCCACTGGGATCACTATTTTAGATCGCTGGGGATCGATTCCCAGTGATCCGAACGGCGATCCTGGGATCACCTTCAAAATCTCTGGGAATCGATTTCCAGTGATCCGCAAGTTCCCAGTTATCTGTTTGGCGCTCCAAGTGCTGTTCTATGTGACGCTCTATGAGCTGCTATGCTGGGCGCTCTCTGAGCTGCTCTGTTTGGCGGTCTATGAGCTGCTCTGTTTGGCATTTGATGAGCTGCTCTGCTTGGCACTCTTTGAGCTGCTCTGTTTGGCGCTCTCTGAGCTGCTCTGTTTGGAGCTCTATGGGCTGCTCTGTTGGCGCTCTATGAGCTGCTCTGTTTGGTGCTCTATGAGCCGCTCTCTGAGCTGCTCTGCTTGGCACTCTCTGAGCTGCTCTGTTTGGCGCTCTATGAGCTGCTCTGTTTGGCGCTCATAAACCGCTCTGCTAGGCACTCTTACGAGCTGTACCAGGGACGTTCTTGTCAGCGCTATCTTAGGCGCTGTGCTAGGCGCTCGATTGGGCGCTGTGTACGGTGCTCAATTAGGCCCGAAAGCCGAAACGCGAAACACGAAATCATAACATCTAAAGCAACTGAAATCCGAAAGTCGGTCCGACACGCAACACCCCACAGACACCAGAACACCGAAGGCAGAACACCGAAACCCGAACGCCGGCCCGAAACGCAGAACCAACGAAGACATTCAAGTCTGAAGCCCAGGAGACCGAAACCCGAAAGTTGGGCCGAGACGCAAAACCAAGCAACATAACCGAAATCCGAAATCCGAACACCCAAACCCGATAGCCGCCCGAAGAGCGGGACCCAAGCACTGGAATTCCGAATCGGAGAACGGAGCCCGAAAGAGCCGGCCCGAAACGCTGCCCCCCCAAAACTAGAAGCCGAAACCGAAACGTTGAGCCCCAGAATCTGTACTTAGCCAGAAAACCAAGCCATATCCTCTAGGCCTCCTCGATGGGGTCGGAGTAGATGGGGTCGGAGATCGCGCCGCATCGCGCCGATGCATCGGCGATGCATCGGCAATGCGGCTCGATGTGGGGCCCAATTTTCTCCACGCCGACGTCGCCGATGCACCGCTGATGTCGCCAGTGCATCGCGGATGCATCGCTGATGCATCGCTGATGCATCGCCGATGTATCGGCGATACGGCGAAATCATCCGACCTTCCTACTCGGACCCCATCTAGGAGGCCTCTATATCCCAAACGTGGAACTCAAGAATCTGAAAACCAGAAAACCGAAACCAGACCCTCAACACGGCAATCAAACACCAGAATAGCAAGGGGCCAAGAACAAACGAAACATTCACCCGAGCACAACATCAGCAGACCCCAAACACAAAACTTCCAAGCATAAACAACATCAGAGAACAGGTATGTCCAAACGCCAGAAGCACACAACCCCGAATCTGAAACAGACAGAATATGGGGAAACAAGCGCAGAAATTCGAAGCGCGAAACATGCGACAATCGAAGCCATAACAACCCCCAAAGCAATACGTTACAAATAACATGCGGGCAGGCAACATACGAGGCTGGGCAACACATAGGAAACATACACACAGCTAGCCAGAAACCTGAAGCACGAACCCCCCAAACCAATCAGACTAGAACATACCGCCCGGAACGCACAAACCCATAACCCCCAAACTGAAAGCAATCTCCTGCTGTCATTTTCGGAATCTGGGAATCGCTTCCTGAGCATCCGAAGAGCGATCCACGGATCATTCTCGGTAGCGTGAAAAGGACATTTGGGCACAACTTCGTGCTAGCGCGCGCTCGTGCGTCCAGGTGAGCAGTCTGCGTGCAATTTCGCGTTCGCGTGCCCAAGTCTGCAATCTGGCGATTCCGCGCTTTCGCGCCGAAGCGCGCAATTCTGCGTTCGATCCTGCGCCCCCGCGCCCGATCGGCATTTTGGGCGCGATTCTGCGCCCCAGTCCGATGCCTAGAACTCTGCAGACTCCCGAAGGCAAACTCATCCAGGATCGCCATGTAACTCGCTGGGAATCGGTTCCCATTCTGCAGGAGATCCCGTGATCACCGTGCAGATCATTGGGAATCCGTTCCCAGTGATGCCGAGAGTGATCCCACAGTCGTCTTCGGGGGCCGAGGCTTACTGGACGCCCCCCCTTCTTCCCCCAATTCCCCTTGTCCACAGGCGGGGCAGGGGACTGGACCCCCCTCCCCCCACGCTACCGGAACCCCGCCACCAGACCCCCCCTCTACCCCGGCAGAGCCACCCCCCCCGCTACCGGAACCCACTCCACCGGAACCCACGCCACCGGCCCCCCCCCCCAACCCCACCTCCTGTTCCCCCTACCCAGGCAGAGTTACCCCGGTCACCCCCTCCCCCTCAAACTCTCACGCCGGATCGGCGGTTTCAGAATACCTGAACGTATTTGAGGAGTCTTTAGGCTTGGGGACACTTGGGAATTGAGAGATTCCGCAGGGCTCCGCAGGAGCCCTTAGGACCCTGATAGCATTCCTGTAGGTTTCTTGCAGGATTCCGATCGGATTCCGATCAGATTATTCAAGGGTTAGGCGCGTGGTTCGTTATACTTCGTTGTTCGTGGGCCGCTCGTTTGGAATCATTGGGATTCTGTTGCCAGTGATTTCGAAAGAAGCTCCAACAAGGAGCTACCACGACCCCAACAATTAGCTAGAGCTCGCCTTCCTGGGAGTGATTCCGGGGAGTCCTTCACAGATTTATTGGGAGGGATTCCGAGGAATTGCCAAGATCATTGGGAGGGAACCCTAGGGAATCCGAGGAAATCTTGGGAATCCAAGGAATTGCCAGATTCCTAGGAGGGACACTCAGGGAATCATAGGAATTCTGTGGATTTCTAGGATTTGCCAGATTCCTGTGAGGGAATGTTGTGATTCTTAGGAGTGCTGGGAATAGATTCCTGGGAGGGAATCTTGATATTCGCAGAATTATAGGAAGTATCAGACTCCTGGGAGGCAGTCCAGGGGAATCCTCGGAATTCTTTAGAATCCCAAATTCCTAGGAAGTTTAAGGATTTCCAGATTCTTGGGAGGGAATCCTGGACAATCCTCCAAATTCTTAGGGAGTCAGATGAGGTGTTAGATGCATGCGAGGGAATCCTCGGGAATCCTCGGATCTGTCGAATCCTGCGAATTCTGTGGATCCAGGGAATCGCCAGATTCTGAGGAAGTCGAAGGGTTGCCAGTTTTCTGCGAGGGAGTGTGTGGGAATCCACGGATTCCAAAAAATCCAATTGAATTTCAAGAATTCGAACCTTAGGGGATCCTCGCTTTGGAATCTTAATTGCCAGATTCCTAAAAGGAGTCATAGGGGGTCCTAAGAATTTTCAGGAATCCAAGGATTTTCTTGGGGTCCAGGAGTTGCCAGATACCTGTGAGGAAATTCTAACGAATCCTAGGCGCTTCTCGGAATTGCCAGAGTCCTGGGATGGAATCCCACGGAATCTTTTGAATTCCACGGCATCCGAGGACTTCCAGATTCCTGCAAGGTAATTGTATGAACTTCTGCGAATCCTAGGAATTGGAGCTCTGGGCGGGAATCCTTGAGAATCCATGGGGGTTGGATCATTGGGAATCGAGTCCCAGGGATTATAGTAGCGATTCCCAGACCATCCTGGACGACAAATGAGCCCTGGGTAGGGAGAAAGCTCCACGGGCCATCGACTAGAAAAAATAGCCGCCGGAGGACTGCTGGGGAGGAGGAAGGGGGAACGAGTTGGACTGATGTTCCTTGCACTTTCTGGGCCTCCTGCTGTGTTGACTCGTTCGAAATTTGCGTAGCGACGCGCTCCAGGATCTAGGGGAGGTCCTGAGGCTGACTCTGACTCGGAGGAGGAGGGGGCGGAGGAGGAGGAGGAGGAGGAGGAGGAGGAGGAGGAGGAGGAGGAGGAGGAGGAGGAGGAGGAGGAGGAGGAGGAGGAGGAGGAGGAGGAGCAACGAACACTCTGGCCGACAGGAAGCAGGATGAGGAGGAGGAGGATGAGGAGGAGGAGGAGGAGGAGGAGGAGGAGGGAGGAGAGGAGGAGGCGGAAGAGGAGGTGGAGGAGGAGGAGGGAGGAGGAGGAGGAGGAGGAAGAGGAGGAGGGAGGAGGAGGAGGAGGAAGGTGGGCTTCGGTAGAGAAGCCCGCACCCGCCTGCAGTGCGCCAGGAGGAGGAAGGCCCTCCCAGACCGCCCAAACAGGGCCTGAGTAGATGGGGCTGGAGGATCGCGCCGCACAGTCGGCCGCGCCGTACCGCCGATGCATCGGCGACGCCGCGCGATCTGGAGCCCGGATTTCGCCATCCCGACGCGGCTATGCATCCGCTGTTGCCGCCGTCGTGGTGGTGGTGATGGTGGTGGTCTCCGTCGTCTTCGTCGTCGTCGTCGTCCTTCGACAATCGACCCCCAAGCCTGTCCAGAGGCACGTTCCGACGAGGATGTCGTGGCGAATCCGGGCGTGGCCACGAGGGCGCCTCTGGATGTCCCAAAATGGTGAAAAACTTCGGAGTCGATTGATCGATCTATATCCTGTTGTACGGGGCCCCAGAAGTCCTAATCCTGTCTCCAGGACCTCTTTTTCATCCTGGGTGGTCTCTCTCTCGGATGGTCTCCAGGCCCGAAACGGGTGTCCAGAGGCCGAGATCCAGACCAGGATCGAAACATCACAACAGCCGTCGCCGTCGTCATCGTACCCGTCGTCGCCGGCGTCGTCGTCGTCGTCGTCATCGCCGTTCTCGTCGTCATCGTTGTCGTCGCGGACGCCATCGCCGTCCTTGCCGTCGGTTCTGGAGGTTTCTGGCATCTACCTCTGCGGCGGCGGCGGCGGCAGCGCCCGCGAGCCGCAGGGCCTGACCCTCGGGTCCGCGCACGGCGCGCGGCTCGAGGACTGCGGCAGGGACGCCGTGCGCAACCAGACGCTGCTGCACCCCACGGCCAGCGGCCCGGCGGGGGGAGGAGGACAAAGGAGGTCGGTCAACTTTCGAGGTCGTCGTCGTCGCCGCCGCCGCTGGCGTCGTCGTCGTCGTCGTCGTCGTCGTCGTCGTCGTCCTCGTCCTCGTCGTCGTTTTCGTCGTCCTCGTCGTCGGTGCAGCATGGGCAGGAGATGCTACCAAAAGCGCGCGGACTTGTCTGCGCTGTCTTCGGCGGCGTCGTGGGCGGGTTCCCTTCGCAGGGCTCTGGCCCGCGGAGCGCATCCAGGGGAGGGGTCCACGGGCCGGGCCCAGACCTCGACGACGTCCTGAAGAATTCAGGGCGGGGCTTTTGTACATTTCGGCTCCCCGGGGTACAGTCGGGGCGCCGAAGAAGGAACCCTTTCGTTGGGGAGGGGCTCGGTATTCCTTATCTGTTTCGCAGCTTGCCTAAGATGTTCCTTAAGTTTCCCATGGGAAATCGAAGTTTAACTTATGGACAAAAGGGGCCTCGTTCATTATTAAGGGTTCCTTAGGTCAACGCCTTGACTGTAGTTTTCAGACCCCATGGGGGCCGTCAGAGATTTACGACAAGTGCGAAACGATCCCCTGGGATGGCGCCCACCGCGGTTCGCCGCCGCCGCCGCTGCCGCCGCCGTCCTCGCCGCCACCGCCGCCGTCGTCATCGTAGTCGTCGTCGTCGTCGTCGTCGTCGTCGTCGTCGTCGTCGTCGTCGTCGTCGTCGTCGTCGTCGTCGCCGTCATGGTCGTCTTCGTCTTCGTCGTTCTTGTCGTTTTGGGGAGTTTCGTGCTCATGTTGAGCCTCCAGGATGTCGCTCGTCGTCACGGCCAGATTCCCTTCGACGTTTTTGCTAAAACGCGCCCCAGGATGAGACCCAAGGTTTTTTGCTAGAGAAGAAGATGATGATGGAGGAGGACGGAGAAGGAAGAGGAGGAGTACAGGGAGGAGGAGGAGGAGGAGAAGGAGGAGGAGGAGGAGGAGGAGGAGGAATAAGGGGCGCGATATTTTCCATACAGGACTGGGCGACTTGGGTGTTTTTTTGTGTAGAGAGCGAGAGAGAGAGAGAGAGAGAGAGAGAGAGAGAGATGGAGAGAGAGAGAGAGACATACAGAGAGATAGATAGAGAGCGAGTAAAGGGAGAGAGAGAGAGAGAGAGACGGAGAGAGGGATCGAGCAACCCATGTATACATGTATGTATGTATATATATATACATGTACGTATGTACATATATTTTAAACACATACGACTTGGAGAAACAACACAGAGAGATGATGGTGATCATGATGAGGAGGAGGAGGAGACGTAGTATTGAAGTGGTTTCGTATTGTTGTCGGTCGTGTGGATTGTCTTCTTGTTTCCAATTCGCCTGCGTTATGTAAAGCCTTAGCGCATGGTTTCGGTACTGTGTGTTGTTTCCCAGTGTGTGTGTGTGTGTGTGTGTGTGCGTGCGATCTGCCAATGCTTCCGCTCGTATGTATTCACACATGTTTATGTGTATAGGCATTGCTGTTCTTGTTGTTTCTTTTTGCTTGTATTCTCTTGTTGTATTTCCTTGTGTGGGCTCCTTATGGTTTCCTTGTGCGTATGTATTCTCCGAGTGTATTTCTTTGCGGATGTCACATTGTTTTCCTTGGGGTGGGGCTACCCTTGTCGGTTCCCTCGTACGAATTTCTCATTGGTTCCGTATGTGACGGTTTATTCCTTGTGTGGAGCATCTTTTTGTTTCTTGTTGTGTTGATTCTCTTTCAATGTCCCGCCGTGTGGATTTCTGATGTTTTTTTTTGTGTATGTGTGCTGGATTTTCGCATTGATTCCCTGTTTGTTGATTTCTTGTTGATTTTCTTTCATCGGTCTTTTTGTTTTGCTTCCTGTTGTGTGAATGTCTTATGGCCTGCCTGTGCAAGGATTTCTCATTAGTTCCTGTTTCGATGGTTTCTTAAATTGGCGTGCGTCTCATATTGTTCCCTGTTGTGTGGACCATATTGTCGTTTCCTGTCGCATGTGTTTCTCATCGTTGTCCTTGCTGCAGAGTTGTCCTTGGCTGCTTCTGTAAGGCTCTCTTATTGTATCTTCGTGTGGATGCATGTGTACGCAACTGAAATCAAACATCAGTTTCTGAAACGTTCAAGAACTATATGGCACGACTGGGTGACACGAAAGGACAATATGACAGCACGACACTAGTGAGAGGGAAAGTGACTGGAGAGAATGGGGAAGGCTCGCGATGCTTGACAAGAAGGATATGGTAAGTAAGAGTAGGAGGTGCATTGGCAGGAAGCTGGTGAGAGGTAGGTGGCAATACTAGATGTGCGGGCGGTGCAAGGCTGTTAAGGCATTTTATCGAAAGCGCATTCGCATTCTAGAACGTGGCAGTATCTTACCCTGGGTTCTCCGCAGCGTGCCGAGGCTAGCTTCATCTTCAAGATACAGAGCAGCCGCCAAGAGGAGCTGGAGAGCCTGCTGAGCAGGCTCGCCCCTGTAGCAGCGCCCGCCCGGGGTGCGCGAGGCAGACGTGACGCTCTGTCTGATCCGGTCGGGTGTGCGGGCCCGGGAGCGGGGTGCAGGCCAGGGCCGGTAGTCGGCAGGTTCGCGCCGCGTTGACGCGGCGGCGAACCCAGTGCGGTTATTCAAGGTCGAGCGCTGCTGGCGTGGTGGCCGAGAGTCGGCGGATGGCGAACGAGACGCGCTACTTGAAGGCCGCGATCGTTCAAGGTTGAACGACCCACGCAGTGCAAGAAACCATCGCTCAAAGCATCACGATGCGAGCCTGTCGTAATCAGCAAGGGGCGCGCAGCACGGCCGAACGTGGCGCTTTTCGATGCTGAGCCTCCAGCGTTCCGCCGCAACAGTCATAGCGCCAGGCGTTTTTTTCAAGGGCAACAAAAAACGCCCCTACCCTGGTTTACGAGGGGCTGTGCGCTGCAACTCCTGTGGGCCGACAGGGTAAACCCTGCGTGATGTGCCGCGTCCTGGCGGCTCTAGGCTTTGGGGGGTCCCAGGAGGTTTACAGACCACGCACTTGTGGGTCGTTTTCTCATCCCTCAATTTTTGTTGGATTCTGCCAGGGACGCACCTCTTTAGTTCCATATGTTTCGCCTCCCCTCAGTGCGAGGTTCGTGACGGGGGCTCTGGGCGCTCCGAGCGCAGAGGACAGCTGGCAGCGGCACGCCCCCTGGCGTTCCTGCGTGTTCTGCCTCGTGGGCGGGGCGGGAGGCACTTTTTGGTCGGCGGGGCGAGAGCGAACCTCCTCCGGTCGAAGCTAAGCGGGCCGCGCGCAGCTTTAATTGACAGAGGGGGGGAGGCAGAAGGAGGGGCCTCACGTCAAGGCCAAGAGAGGGCAAAGCCCTGGAATCAGGCGGTGCCGAAGACGATGTGCTTGCAAAGGAACGCCTTGTACAGGAATCCGGTGGCGAAGTACCGGAAGAAACAAAATGCGGGGCGGGAAACATGCAGAAAAGGAAGTGCCAGCATCCGAACTCTAGACGCTTCAGGTAACCCCACCAGCCCATTCAGAAAAGCTGCCGGGACGAATTGCCCCGATCGGGGATGTGGGAAGGAGCATGCATTGGAATAAAGGGCTGGATAAGACGTCGTGCTCAAAGAGAGGGAGGAGGGAGGAGGCATCGGAGGAGCAGGAGGAGGAGAAGGGAGAGGGGGATGGGGGAGGGAACGAAGGAGGAGGGAGGAGGAAAAGGGAGGAATAAGCGGATGAGGAAGATGATGATGAGCAGCAGGAGGATGAGGAGGAGGATGAGGAGGAGGAGGAGGTGGAGGCGGAGGAGGAGGAGGAGGAGGAGGAGGAGGAGGAGGAGAAGGACCAGTGTAAACCCAAGAGTCTTCAGCGATGTTGGAAGTAACCCTCCCTCCAAGCTCCCTCTTCATAGGCCCCTTCCATTGAGGGAACTGCCTCGTTGGAAGACATCCGCTTGAAGATCTTGAAGCATGCCGAACCATTGTTTTCGGGATTTCCACGCCACGTATCAACCTGACTGCTGCGTCTTGACGATCCGGAATCGTGCCAGAACGCCATTTTTGGGACTTCGACTCCGCGAATCAACATAACTGTTGCGCCCGCATAGTCCTGAATCCTTCCAAAGCACCATTTCTGGTACTTAGATCATGGGAATGTGCGAAACTCTTGCAATGTCTTGAAACGAATGTGCGCGGCGCCCAGGCGAGGGCCACATTTTGAAAACGACCCGCCCTCAATCCGTGCAGCTCTTGCAAGTTTTTAGAACGAATGTGCTCGGCGTTAAGGCGAGAGCCACATTTTGAAAACGGCCCGCCCTCAATCCGTGAAATTCTTGCAGTTTTTTAGAACCAATGTGCGCGACGTTGAGGCGAGAGCCACATTTTGAAAACGACTTGCCCTCCATCTGCGAAACTTCTGTCACTTTTTAAGCTTCAGAGCCACAGATGGTGAGGAAGTCCCAGGCTCAGGCGAAATGCCCGGCCCGCCCTAAAAGCTAGTCTCCGGGTGCGAGAGGGAAAAGTTATCTATAAGGAGAAGGAATGGAGGAGGAGGAGGAGGAGGAGGAGGAGGAGGAGGAGGAGGAGGAGGAGGAGGGAGGAGGAGGAGGAGGAGGAGGAGGAGGAGGAGGAGGAGGAGGAGGAGGGAGGAGAGGAGGAGGAGGAGGAGGAGGAAAGGAGGAGGAGGAGGAGGAGGAGGAGGAGGAGGAGGAAGGAGGAGGAAGAGGAGGAGGAGGAGGAGGAGGAGGAGGAGGTGGGAGAGCAGAAAGGCCAGAAGCCTCTTGGATGCCTTTCGGAGTCTGTTCGGATTTCTTCCGAGAGCTTCTTGGAGTTCTCTTGGGGTGTTTTGGGCGTCTCTTGGTACTTGGGGTCATTTTGGGGCGCCTTGGGTGCCTCTGGGGAGTCTCTTGGGGCCTCTTGGGGGTCTTTGAAGCTTCTTGGGGGCATCTTGGGGGCTTCTCGGGGCCGTCTTGGGGCACCCTTGGGAGCCTCGGGGGCCATCTTGGAGCCATCTTGGAGGAGATCGATCAAAGGAGGCCGTGGTACATTGCCGCCCCCCCCAAGAAGGCCCAAATGTGGCCAACACCTTCGTATCATCAATGACTCCCTATTGGCTTTCTGCTAGGGTTCTAGCAGTATTCAAAAAATCCTCTCACCAGAATCTCCACAGGGGGTGCATGGGGGAGGCGTCTCGCTGGTCCGGCGGCGGTCTGGAACCGACTCTTTAGTGTGTTCTGGCTCGATCTCAGCCTTCGCAGAACCAGAAAATGAGACGCACTCTGGTGGTCCGCTTCGAACTGGTCCAGAAATGAGGCTCACTGTTGCGCTCTGGCTCGATTTTGGCCCTCCCAGATGCAGAAATGCGATTTGGTCCAGAAACGAAACTCACCATTGTGTTCTGGTTCGGTTTCGGTTCAAATATTATTTTCACCCGAGTCTTTTCAGGGGGGCGAACGTTCTGGCACGGTTTCAGCCCTCGGTTCTCACCGTTCCAGCTGGCCATCGGTTTCCCACAATTCCAGCTGGTTCAGACCGTGTGGCAGGGGGATCGGATTCGTATCGTTCGAGCTGTCCTAGGTCCAGAACGTGTGGCAGGGGCATCGGATTCTCACCGTTCCAGCTGTCCTGTTCTGGCTCCATTTCGATCCTCGTAAAGCCAGAAGTGGTACTCACTAGTGCGTCATGACTCGATTGCAGCCGTCGAAGGTCCAGAAAGTTTTGCAGCGGAAGTGGTTTCTCACCATTGCAGCTGCCATAGGTCCATAAAGTGTGGCAGGGGCATCGGGATTTTATTGTTCCAGCTGTCCTAGGTCGGGAAAGTATGGCAGGGGCATCGTGTTCTTACCGTTCCAGTTGTCCCAGGTCCAGAAAGTGTGACAGGTGCATCAGATTCTTATCCTGTCGGCTGTCCTCCGTCAACAAAGTGCGGCAGGGCCGTCGGGTTCTCACCATTCCAGCTTTCCTCCTTCCAGGAAGTGTGGCAGGGACATCGGACTCTTACCATTCCAGTTGTCCAAGGTCCTTCACGCAATCCGTCCCAAAATCGATATCATGCCAGGAGGGCGCCGGGGAGGTGGAGGAGGAAGTGGGAAGGAAGGAGAGGAGGCGGATGAGGAGGAGGACCCGGAGGGCGCGGAGGAGGAGGCGGAGAAGGATGAGGAGGACGGGGATGCGGATGAAGACGAAAACTATTAGTTCGAACAAGCAGGAGAAGAAGACTCATAATCATAATATGATGCCGGAGCAAAACCCCAATCGCAATCTTTTTAGGGCTATAGGGCTATGGGGCTAAAGGGCTATAGGACCATAGGGCTATAGGTCTATGTGGTTATAAGGGTATAGGGCTATAGGCATATAGAGCTATAGGGCTATAGGGCTATAGGGCTGTAAGGCTATAGGGCTATAAGGATACAAGGTTATAGGGCTATAGGGCTGTAAGGGCTATAGGGCTATAGGCCTAAAGGGCGATTGGGCTATAGGGTTGTAGGGCTATAGGGCTGTAGGGATATAGGGCTATATGGCTACAAGGCTATAGGGCTATAAGGCTATAGGGCTACATAGGGCTATTGTGCTATTGTGCTATATGGTTATTAGGGCTATAGGGCTATAGGGCTGTAGGGCTACACGGCTGAAGGGCACCAGGGCACCCGGGCACCCGGGCACCCAGGCACCCGGGCACCCGGGCACCCGGGCACCTGAGCACCCGGGCACCCGAACACCCGGGCATCGAGGCACCCCGGCACCCGGGCACCCAGCCACCCGGGCAACCGGGCGCGCCGTGGCACCTTGGCACCCGGGCACCCGGGCACCAGGGCATCCAAACACTGGCACCCGGGCACCTGGGCACCCGGGCACCCAGGCGTGCCACCGAAATCGGCGCCACAGCTAACCTAACCATATGAATCCGCCAGGGCCCCTACAGAGGCAGCTCTGATTGGGGAGTTACTGCGAATATGCGAAGAAGGCGAAGACTAGCAATAGTAAAAATATGAGTAATCGTAGTAGTAATAATACTGATAATAATAATGAGGAGGAGGAGGAGGAGGCGGCGGAGGAGGAGGAGGAGGAGGAGGAGGAGGAGGAGGTGGACGAGGAGGAGGAGGAGGAGGAGGAGGAGGAGGAGGAGGAGGAACGGTACGTGGGGGGGAGGGGGGCCTGGCGAGGAGAGGGAGGAGGAGGAGGGGCGGAGAACATTGAAGAATCCCTTTGTCCCTCCGTTGCCATTGGCTCAAGCTCGGCCAGGTCATACTCCTCTTCCCACTCCTGCTCCTACTCCTGCAGGAGTGGGTCGCTCGGTCCGTAATGCTGCTCCAAGCGCATTTATGTCGCCATGTCGGAATCACGAACGTCACCTTCACTAGCAAGTTCAATTCCGTAGCCGCATCGACAATATGATGAGGCTGTTCTCGCAAGCCGGCGTTTCAGGCATCCATCATCCATCCGCCTCCACACCTTAGCGGCCATTCGGATACTTCGCGGGGGTGCTTCTGGTTTTCTCGCCGAGGCCTCTTCGGGCGTCTCGGGTGCCTCTGGGGGCCTCTCGGCGCGTCTTGAGGGTCTCTTGGGAGCTCCTTTTGGGGGCACCTTGGGGGCCTCTCAGGAGCCTTCTGGGCCCTCCTTTGCAACTCTCGGGGCCGTCTTGGGGCACCCTTGGGAGCCTCGGGGGCCATTTTTGGGTTACCTTGGGTGAGATCGATTATGGAAAGGGGGGGTCCTTAACCGACCCCTCCCCACCCCGCCCCCAGGAGGCTAACATGTGGCCAAACCAATACAAATCATAATCAGCGACTTCGGCGTTTTCGCCGACGCCTCTGTGGGGCGTCTGGGGTTCGTCTTGGGCGCCTCTAGTGGAACTCTTGGGAGCTTCTTGCGGGCATCTTTTGGGCCTCACGGGGGCCTCTTGGGGCCTCCTTGGCATTTTTCGGGGCCGTCTTGGTGCGCCCTTGGGAGCCTCGGAGGCCAGCCTGGGGGCCATCTTGGAGGCGATCGATCCAAGGAGGGGCCCTTGTGCACTAGTCCCCCCCCGTACAAGAACCATAGTCAATGATTTTGGCCTTCTCGCCGAGGCCGTTCTGGACGCTCGGACGACGCGCGGCCTGGCCCGTCCAGATCCATGGGGGAGGCGGTCGGGGGTGGGGTAAACCCTTCCCCGAAGGGGAAACAACATTCAGGCGATCGCAAATATGGATCAAGGGGGCGTGGATTAGCGACGGGTCCCGTTTCCACGGGCAATCGCGGATCCCCCGCCGCCGAGCGAGGCGGCACGGGCCTCATCTTGGCGAGGGCTCATCCCCCGATCCATGTTTGCGCGCCCCCGGGAAATCGGGCTGGAAGAGGCAGCGCTCTGAACCGCTCGCGCCCTGGAGGACTGCTGGGACTTCTTTGCGCACGGGCTTTGGCCTCTGCCGCCGGGCCCCTGTCTGTTCGGGTTTGGGAATGTCAGGGCTACGGTGGGACGTGTCGGCGCTGTTTTGCAAACGCCTGGGAACATCGTGCGATGGCGAGTGGCATTCCTCAAGCACGTTGGGATGTTGGAGTTGTTGTCGAATCTGTCGTGATTTGCAAAAGAATCTGGCCTCGGGGGCGCAAGTCTGGAGCAATTTGCAGAAGGAGAGTCTGACCTCGGGAGCGCGAACTTGGCGCCATTTTCGAGAGCACCTGGCCTCGGGGGCGCGCATCTGGAATCATTTGCGGACAGGAATTGGTCTTCGGGGGAGCGAGCCTGGCGTAAGTTACAACGGATTGTGGCTTAGGGAATGCGAACTTGGTGTAATTTGCATGGCATTCGCTTGGGAGCGGCGAAATTGCCATGGGTTCTGATGCCGGGAGAGCGAGCGTGGCGCAATTTACAAAAAGGAGCTGTTTTCTGGGAGCGCGAATTTCTTTGTAAGGCGGCAGTGATTTTAGCTTCGGGAGCGCGAGCCTCGCGCAGTTTACAGAAGGCGTGCTGGCCACGGGGGCGCGAGTCTGGTGCAAGTTACCCTCCGATTCAGGCATCGGGCGCGCGACCCCGGCGTGACTTACGGAGGGTTCGGGCCTCGCGATTCGCGAGCTTGATGTAGCGCGAGTCTCGGGTAGTTGTGCCCCCCAGAAACTTCGGGAGCACGCGACTCGGGCGTGGCAGCGGGGTGCTTTTCGGCTCCCCCCTTCGCGCGGACGCTGACAATCCAGAGCAGGAAGCAGAACGTCTTTTTACACATGGGAACTAGCCCAGGGCGCAAGGAATTCTCAGCTGCGCAGCCTGGTGACCCCACCAGGGGGCCAGCGGCTCTGTCTCCTGAAGGCCCCTGCCGCAGGGGCACTCTGGAGCCGTTCGATCGACGGCCGGGCCCATCGGCGCAGTCCCCACCCCTGAGCTCGCCTCTTCGAGTTGGTTGCGAGGCCTTGGGCAGCGGGCTGGGGGGGTCACGGGCTCTCGCCGGGAGCCGATCGCTCTGTGCCCGGAGGAGGGAGGAGGAGGGGGAGGAGGAGGAGGAGGAGGA